CTGCTGCTTCTGAAGCTGCTTGGAGGGCCGCTTTCGCCGCAGCCACTCCTTCGTTGACCAAAGCTCTGAACTCCTTCTTGTCCCTTTCCTAGAGAAGAGGTTCGAAATTTGGCAGGGAACCCCACAAATTAAAATCATACCAGCTCAGTAGGGTTTGGTGGTTTGCCACCCTGAGCTGGAAGCTCACCTAAGAATAAAACTTCCTGCCGAAGGTATCTAGTCTCCTGGCGTCTTTATCCTTGGGAATGGGCGCGGGTTGGCCATGCCTTTCTCGGTGGTTTGCAGACTCCATCACCAGAGAGTTAGGTGCCGGGTGAGAGTACAAGTATTTGTGCCCTTTTCCTGGCACAAAATACTTTCTCTCCGCCTATTTAGAAATAGGCGCCAAGGAAGCAAGGGTTTGCCAAAGTGAGGTAGATATGTTGGCAACCCCCTGGTGGAGAGGTAGGGCCATATGGCCTGGTGCCGAGGAGGACAACACATTGAACAGGGTGTCCGACGGCTCCTCCATCTCCTCAGCCTGGAGCTGGAGATTCGATGCCATCTGTTTAAGGAGCTCTTGGTGAGCCTTAAAATCTTCCTGCAAGGTGGGTGGTGGCGCCACTATGGATTCCTCTGCTGCCGGAGAGGAGACCGGGTCTGCCCCCAGGGCATGTGGCGGTACTGGTGGTTCAGCCCCCAAGTCCGAGCCCAGGCGCGGTGCCGCTGGTTCGGTGCTGGTTGAGTTTTCCCGGTGCTGAGACGGGGACGTCGACTGTATCTGCAATGTTCCAGATGGCCTCACGGGACGGGTAGGTACCTCATCCTCAGAGTGGGGGCTATGCCAGACCGGGGAGGTTTGATGAGCTCCCAGCGGCGGCTTCTCTTGGGATCGGGGGCTCATCTCGGGCAGCGTGCCTGGCACCAGAAGGGCGAGGATATCACGCGCTGCCTGCACTGCCTCCAGCATCGACGGTATCCTCAACGCAGGAGAGGCACACGCGGATGGGACGGACTATTCCGCTGAGCGTGAATCAGAGGTCTGGGTCCCGAGGGCGATCACGGGCTCCCCAACTCGGGTCCGGCCTCACCCCTGTCTTTCTCTCGGCGCCGCTGAGTCTTCCCTTGCTTCTTAGCGGGGGAGCGGTGCCAACTGGTTGATGAGACGTCGCTCTGCACCGACAACGCGCTCGAAGCCAAGTCGGGTCGGCGTGTCTGTGCTGGGGCCATTGCTGACTCCATTAGTAGGGCCCGGAGACAGATGTCCCTTTCACGCTTCGTTCTAGGTTTGAACGATCTGCAGATTTTACAACGTTCACTTACGTGAGTCTCGCCCAAACAGCAAAGATACTGAGTGTATGGATCGCTCCTGGGCATAGAACTGCGACAGGAATCGCAAGACTTGAAGCCTGGGGCACAAGGCATGCACCGAGCCAGGCAACTAACTAGAGAAGCAATCTACGATGAAGAGTTCTACTATTAAGGCTAGAAGCGCTACAGCAGAGCTGGAGCACGAAGTTCCGACAACCTTCACTGGCGGCAAGAAGGAACTGAGGGTGGGGGGAGTGTGCAGCTTCCCTTATAGCACGATACAGAGGCACCACTCCAGGGGACGCAGCGGTGCTCCCCCACTAGGGTACTGCTAAGGGAAAAACTTCCGGCACCTGTGCACGGTGCACGTGGCGAGCACACACACCTACTGTGGAATACACAGGAGCAATCATTCAAAAAAGAACCAATATATTTGGGGGTGACTCACCGCCTGAGTCTCAAAAAGCACTACATAAATAGGAATGTATGTTTTTCCTACCTCAATTTTTTAGATCTGTTTTTAAATCTTAAGTAGACTTTACATTTAGAGGGAATGTGGATTTCTCCCAAGCAGCAAAGAGGCAGATTGAATCTCCATCATTCCAAGGGAAGGACGTGTGGCACATATGGGAAGGTTTGAAGCCCAGGGTCTTCGGCATAACCCACACATGGGGCTGTGGATGAGGGCTGGGAGGTGAGGGTGGGGGTGAGGGAGAGAACAAGGTCCCAGAGGAAAGAAGGGGTGAACCCTCTCAAAGCGTGAACTTGTGCTAACAGAAAAAAAAACTAAGAAGAAACTAAAATGAGAAAGGCATAAGAAAGCCAAGGGTACCAGCTGCATAGTTCAACTACTGGGCACGGACTGCTCTGTTGCAAGACACCGTCAGTTTATTGGGGTATGAGGGTGAAGAGGGACACCACTGACAAAAATCGCTGAGCAAGATTGCACGAGCAGGCAGCGTATACTGACGTACAGCACCCATGGGGACACTAGTCAAAGAAGAGAGAGAGAGAGAGAGAGAGTGTGTGTGTGTGTGTGTGTGTGTGTGTGTGTGTGTGTGTGTGTGTGTGTGTGTGTGTGT